AACTAAGTTTTTGTCGTTCCGAGGCCTTCTTATGTCCCTGACTCCGATTATCAAGTCGAAAATCCGCGAAAATCGCGACAATTCCCGTTCCGCAAAACCTGCAAGGCAAATTTTCGGAAAGGTTTTCGGGGTTTTCGCGGATTCTCGACTTCATATTCGAAAACGGAACAGGAAACGTAAACTACACGGTAATAGTTGGCCAAACCCTGATTTTTCACATTGCTTTACAGGCCACCAACAATTGATATACCGCATTCAAAAGGTCTCAGTAATATGCAGGTTTCCGATCTCTGCCACTGCCTCGAAGCAAAGTGTAAGGAGCTTATAGGAAATGTAAGCTGTTCAAAACAATTGTAACTTGCACAGATGATTTCATTTAGCCTATGGTTATGGAATTGTGCGAGATTGTCAGGGCATTTTTATCTGATAACAACAAGCCCCCACAAGGCTCTTTTCATGACGTTATGTTGAGATTCAAGGAAACACAAGACTTTTTGTTTGAGGTGCTTTGCCTCCAAATCTGAATTCGCATACTTCTCGGAACCTTTTTTAGGCCGAGAAGGAGAGGAAAGAGGCACTCGCAAAAGAAGCGATTGTGGAGGAGCGCGAGAGACAAAAGTTAGAAGCTGAGCTGAGGAACGAGCAGGCAGGATATACGGGTGATGCGAACGTGGAGAAACAAGATGAGGTGAGTTTCTTTTACTGTTTAATTCAATGCAGATCATATAACAGTTTATTCTCTTTATGCTATGTCTTTTGACGCGCATTAGCCTGCTTTGTATTGTTTCCGAGAACAACTTAGTTTAATGCAAGTGAGTATGTGAAGAGAAAAATCTAATTGAAGTATCGCACTCTTTAGCTACCAGATGTTGGTGTTTGAATCTTATGTTCATTCATCTTTCCATCACAGTCTCATCCTGTTCTCAGAGGTCTCCATTGCATAAGCTTTGAAGGGAGCGAAAATCCCAACTTTTTGGTATAGTCACAATCATTCCTTGTCTTTCGAAGAACGATCCTATCGAGAACCATTTTGAAGAGTTTCTGCACCTGTACTCGTCTCGTTATCCCTTATATCTCTTGATGATTCTCAGGAGACACGCACTTACTTCTTTATGATGTACCACATATTGGTTTCGTATCACTTTGCTAATTCACTGCTCGTTAGGCACACGCCATACTTGATCCGCCCACTCCGCTACTACTCAAATCAGTGAACTGACCAATAGCCAAGCGGATGTTTCACTTGATCCGCTTGATCCACTTGATCCTCGTAATCCACTTCGCCATTGGTCAGTTTGCCGATATGACAAATAGCGAAGTGGATGAAGCGGATCAAGTATGGCG